TTGTTATTTTACTGTGATTGGAGAACCCGTAGTCGCCTTCTAATCGCTATCTTTAAGTCAGATCTCTCGGGCAGAGCCATAAACTAAAGTTTGTCCTCTCTGTCGGCAAATCCCAAAGGTGAGAAGGCATTGTATAACCCCGGGAGAAACCTACCTCGGATCCGAGACGATCCAGCGGCTACCGAAGGAGATCGATACATTCCAAGCCGGACTGATCTCAGTCGATTTTGTGGAGAAGGGACCCAAACTCAGATCTAGATTACGTGACTGTTATACCACACAAACACATGAAAAGAAAAATTTGGAGAAGACTCCAAGGACAACAACTGCTCGAACAACACGAAGCTTTTAGTATTGCCGGACTAACGAAGTTGAAATCTCTTGGAACTGAAAAGTGGGATTTTGTAGAACTTCCAACAGGGTGTGGTCGAATCCTCCAGAGACAGCAGCAAAAAAGTCGGCGCTGGAAAAAGTCATGTCAATTTAAAGTTCTATGATAAAATCTATAAAAAGCTAAAGTTAAAACAATATCTAGCGTAGTTTATTTTTTATTTTTTACTATCTGAATCGTTGATTTTGAATTCCTGGATGGATAAAAATTTACGTGTAGTTATCTTTGAGGTATGCAATATGAATATTGTGTTGACACAGAAATAGTGTAAATGAGAGTGGTAATAAATACAATTTATCCATTAAATAGTACAAATGCAACCGTATGTATTTACAACATTTATATTTCACACCAACATTGACGTGGAAAACAAAGCATCACTACACTTCAGAGACCTGTTCTCTGCTATACGGTTACAGACGTTGAATTTATTCATAGAGCCTTCATTACAACTTTGCCGGTTGTGTTAATGCCCATTGCAACAAGTTTCAATATGGTACGGCTCTTATATAACCTGTCCAAGTCAGAGAATTAATGATATTGTTAAACTCAATTCATTAGATTAGAAATTACATATGAGCATAGACACAACCTAGCACATGTTTAAATTCTGGAGTATGTATCTGAGAGTACCTTTCAGTACCAATCTTCCTTAAATCTGCATACGTACAAGTTTGCAGTAAAAAAGACATAATTTTCACTCTATTGATGCTTTTGTACTGAAAGACTTGTTCCGAGTTCAATGCCATAATGTAATGGGTGATAAGTTTGTTCAAACAGTGCTTCGATTAATTGCTTGAATTTAGCTTACAAGATAACTATGCAAATGATTGTGCAGGACTTGAGGAGTTTACATCGTCTATATATGAAAGGCATACCTGTTTTAGTGAATAACAATCCCTATTAAGGTATGAAATACAAAATGATGCTGCGGAAGTGTGGGGTGCCGTTTATATAGTTTTTTTTATAGAAGTTGGAGGTCTCATTAAAATCTCCCTTCGTATTCGTCCACATACTAAGAAGTATGTTAACGAACATTGGAAGGAAGAAAAGAGTACCTCATAGTTTATTAATAATAATACCCAATACATATGAAAATACGGAATATCCTCCTATGGTGAAATACATCATTACAACAAACCAGAAACACCTAAAACTCTCACATCCTCAACCAAAAAACCCCATCGACAATCACCCTATTTATAAGTTACACCTCCAGCAAAAGGATAAAAAACAACACAAAAGAAAACCAACACCTGCAACCATTTAAACTAAATCAAAGCCCCAATTGAAGAAACAAGATCTAATGAGTATCAACTTCGTCAGGGACCCAAGACTTTGGTTTGAAGGAAGGCTCAATTTCATGCACCATGATTTAGAAGGACATAGCAACGACCTTCAATTCCAACGACTCATCAATTCTCACATGAGCCTTTGTGAGGATTTGAATTTTTGTCCGATCAAAAGATGATGGCGACTGACAGCTTTCGTCGATTGCTAATAAATTACCCCACTTATCTGCAATGTTCTTGAAAGTATCCCAATTCCAAGCGTGAAAAGGAACGCCCTCGCAAACTAACCACACTCGACGATACTCCACCACCAAACTCTTTGACCAAACTTCAACTCTGGAGAACCACTTTGCGAGAGTCTCTGATTTATCGTTCTTCACATTACTCAATGAAGCATAGTCTTCAAAAATCATTAGAACTGCATTTCCAACAGCTCTCATTATCGAGAAACCAGTGAAACCTTTGGCTTGCATTTGACTAGCGAGATTACCGATTTTGATAAAGTCCTTGCACCACCCCACTAGACATTTACTCAACACGTGAAGATATCTTCGTCCATAACACCTTCAACTTCACAATGATTTTTCCTCGAAACAACTTCCATCCCAGACTTATGATGAACAGATGTCGAGGTCTTTCTCTAAAAAGACTGTCGAGGTTTGAATTTAGCCAAAGATACACTAATTTAGCTGTTGTCAATATGAGATCCATTCATTTTTGAGATCGCTTCCCTTGCTTCTTCGATTGTTGCAAAACGAATGAAACAAAAATGAACCCCTTCTGAATTTCTTTTATTTGGAATGAAATCATTAATAACCCGACCGTGGGAGCAAAATAAAGATCCAAACGTCTTCAAATGGATCTTTTCTTGGTAAATTTTCAATAAATAATGTGTAGCAACCACTTATGTACCCATTACGAATTTTTGGGTGGCCTTCATTCCACCAATTATGAAACCCGATTCTCATCCTTCTTGCTACTTCAGTAGACTTATCATCGGAACACCCCTTTGTGGTGAACTCCTTGATTTCATCGTGGTCAACATCTGCGGCAGAATGAGCTGGTGATGCCGCTACTAAAGAAAGCTTCCCATTCCCATATTTCCCTCCTTGTGAAGAAGTCAAACCATTAGGCCTAGATTCATTATCCACAATTTTTCTTACAAAAAAGGTATCCTCATTCGCCGACGAAGCCTCCAATCGGGATCTCAAATGCATTTCCTCACTCGATCTCGACTTCACCCGTCCCCGGCTACCTCCACCGCTCAATGGCTGCTTCTGATTCCCACCAGACCCACCATTGACAGTTTCCTTCGCAACACCGTAGGAAACCGAAGCCCACTGAGGATTCTTTTGGTTATAATCGACGCAAGTTTTGTTATCTGACTGTGATTGGAGAACCCGTAGTCGCCTTCTAATCGCCATCTTTAAGTCAGATCTCTCGGGCAGAGCCATAAACTGAAGTTTGGCCTCTCTGTTGGCAAATCCCAAAGGTGAGAAGACATTGTATAACCCCGGGAGCAACCTACCTCGGATCCGAGACGATCCAGCAGCTACCGAAGGAGATCGATACATTCCAAGCCGGACTGATCTCAGTCGATTTTGTGGAGAAGGGACCCAAACTCAGATCTAGATTACGTGACTGTTATACCACACAAACACATGAAAAGAAAAATTTGGAGAAGACCTCCAAGGACAGCAACTGCTCGAACAACACGAAGCTTTTAGTATTGTCGGACTAACGAAGTTGAAATCTCTTGGAACTGAAAAGTGGGATTTTGTAGAACTTCCAACAGGGTGTGGTCGAATCCTCCAGAGACAGCAGCAAAAAAGTCGGCGCTGGAAAAAGTCGGCGCGTGAAGAAAGGCTGTACTTTGTGGCGGCGCGTGAACTCTACGCGCTGGGCGAATGGTGACAGGACTTTCCAGATTGGCCAATCGTCGAATGGTCTACCTCTTGGTGCCGGCGGTGTCGAGAGAACGATCTCTAAATGTCCCAGGAAAAAATGAAGAAATGACCTTTAACGGTAGATTTGCGCCTTTTGAATGATTTTTTCGCAAAACTAAGTTCGAAAGTAGAATCACAGTGACGAGATGAACTCCCATGAGAGAAACGGCGGCGAAAGATGGTCGGAGTGTGGCGGCGGACGGCGGTCAACGATGAATAGCTTTGGCGGATGGCGGAAAGAACAATTGAGAACTAACGGGATCCCCAAAAACACCTAACCTTCTAGAGAGAAATGGGAGCTTCTTTCTATAGAATTTTTTTAGAAAAGCACTCACATCCCTGCAGTAAATAAATTTCTCGTTTACATAGTTCAACTGTTAAATATCTAGGTAGGCTCCATAATTATTTAGTACTGATTTAATCATCCAGGCAAAACCTATAATGGAGTTTGATCTTCTTAAAAGAAGATATATATGCATTGCCACAAGGATCAAGGTTTTAAATTCGCAAGCAACTCTTCTCAAACAACAAGGAACAAGCATGCATGGAAGGCAATTTGACAAATACAAAAAACCAAAAGAAAGATTGGTAAAAGGAACAGCGAAACTTACCCAGCCAGTGTAAGTCCTCATGTTGACAACGTATAGAACAACTTTCCAGCATGCCAAATGTTCAAAACCTTCTCCAATTTGCTGACACCTCCTAATGCTTTCAGCAGAGCTGCTCATAATCTCATCACAGTAAGCAAACACTATATGGTATTCACATTTAATTAAAAGAATGGGGGAAAAAAGATGATAATTAGTAACAAAACCAATGGAAAATAATATAAGCTGAACTTCACCAGGAAGTTTTGAACAGGAAGAAGAAGAAATGTCAGGCAACATACTCATAAAACAGAAAACCGCTTTTTAAGTGTAAAGATTAAGGTTACCAAACATGGAAAAAAAAAGACAAGTCAAGGGCTAATGCATGGTATCTTTAGTAATTATTACAGCACTGCTGCCCATCTTCCACTATATAGTTTTGTTGTAGTGAATTGCAATGCAACTTCCTATTTATCTAAAGAACGGGACCTCAATATTTACCATCAATTATCATGAGGCATTTATACTATCAGGTGATATACCAAGAAAAAGAAATGGGTGAAGATAAGTCTATTTAATAGGGAACTTACTTTTCTGCAATTCTTCTGGGGTCAAAGTCTGTAATACCAGGATTACAAAAAAACATAAGAACATGGTATATTTAGTAGAAAAGGAAAGTCAGATTGAGTAGCTAAAAACCTGAGCTTTAGGGTTTGACAATATGCATTTTGCCATAAAGTTAGCAACCTCATCCACAACATGCTCTTCATTAAGATTAATGTAATTCTCATCATCAATTCCACTCCACTCTTCAACATTGCTTGGAACCATTTCATCAGTTACCCATATCCACCAACTTGGTTCTTTTTGGTCAACATTAATCAGAACTTCAACTGAATGTATATCATCTCCTAATTTAAAAAAAATATATTATTTAAAAAAAAACATGTTAGCTAATCAATCAATATTTATACATTTCTAACAATAAAAGGAGCAAAGAAATAGCGCCAACAATTGTCCCGAGTTATTTACCCCACCTATGAGGTAATAATTTACAAGTCTAATTATGAATTTCTATACAATGATATGAGAAAATAGCTTATTTAAAAATGAAGAGAAATCCTCGTTTATCTGTTCTAACTTATCACCATATAGAATCAGTATGTCTAATCTGAAGAAATCAGTAACGTAACTTTACCTTGCCAAAAATTAATCAACAAAAAGTTAAAAATTCAGTGAAGAGATTTGGTATAAAAGAACCTGTAGCTTCCTTGAATGGAAACTCAATTTTAGTACTGGATTCATTAAGTGATTTGAGCCGGCTCAAGAAGTTTTTAGAATCTACGGTAGCATCAACCGAGCATGGAGCTGCAATTAATTCCAGAAATTAGAAAAATAAAATAAAACGGAAAAATGAAGGAAAATTACGTACGTCAGGAGGACAATCGTTTAATAGAGCAGGATATTCAGATAGATTATTCAGAAGTTTAAGGTTCTGTTCAAGCTGATTCCTCAAACGTCGGTTTTCCGATTTTAGGATTTCCAATTCCTTTTCAAGTTTGGAGTTCTCATGATTTCTGGGAGCATCGTCGTGATGGTCGTGGTGGTGGTGGCGGTGGCAACATTCCAAGGCAGCCCATGCGACATCGGCGACTTCGAGGACGGTCTTGGTAACCTCCACAGCTTCATGGCCGCCCATTGTCGAACGTAAAACCGGAAGTTTTCTTAAGGGTTCTTGAGATTTGGGGGAAAACGATGAATTTTGACGATGGTTTGGGAACTTGGGATGGTGTCGTTTCGCGTTTACGTGTCCAAATGAGCGGGTTCCGTAAGACTGTAAAACCGTCGTGAACCGGTTTTGGTTTAACGTTGTTGCTAAATTCTTCGACTCTTTAAGTGTATAAGTTTTTTTAAAAGTTTTAATTTCAATTAACAATTAGTTGGTCTAGGACGAGATATTAGATTTTTTAAGTAAGGTCAAAGGTTTAAATTCTGACATTTGTGAATAAAGTAATTGGGTTAGGAGGGTCGCTCTCGTTTTTACAGTACTCGAATTAGATTAGTTGGTCAATAAATCAGATATTATTGATTAATTCAAAAAAAATTGAATTCAAATGATTATATCCGTAAAAGATATATATTATGAATGACTAAAAAATATTTTAACCCTATATTATCTTATAATTATTTCATACTATTCAAAAAATAAAATAAAAATAATAACACTTATTTTCTTTGAATTAGTTACTATAAGGAAGTCCTTAAAATATGGCTTATGTTGTTGTCTTGAAATATTTTCTAACTTTGCCCATAAAATAATTTAATTATAATTAGATTTTGTCATATTTGGGATATAGACAAAAAAAATATCTTATGTTATAAAATATATTATAAATATCACATATAAAAACAATAAAAGAAATTTTATATAAATTTTATTAAATACAGATTCTATAGCATCTGTTTCGCTTCCAATTTTCTATTTTGATTTTCTGTTATTAAAACGAAATCGATAGGGAATCTGCTATTAATCATATATAAAATATAATAATTAATTTTTAGAAAATTTAATAAAATAATAATTAATTTTCACTTATACTTTTTTTATTCATTTTAAAATTGATTTTTAAGTCAATAATAAAATCTTTGAAGTTATACACAATTAAATTATTTAAATCACACGTCCTAAACTTCAAAGCTCTAATCCAAAGCACGAATCATCTTATCTTGGTGATTAAAAGAATCATTATTGTTTCTAGAGGACATGAGTTTAAGCACCAACAATTACAAAGGTGATTGGATGTTCATTGTCAAATAATTAAAAGTATATAGAACATATACTACTTTATAATCATCTTAGTTTAATAAAAAAATTCTAATATCGGAATTTTAACATTTAAAATCGTAAAAGTTTATAACAAGTAACGAAATGTTATTTTGTTTGCAAGTGTAACTATGATATGAAGTCAATCTAAACGGAACCCAATTGGTTAATTATCACGGACGTTCCATGTTTAAAAACAAATCAAAATGGCAATTAACATTTTGTTTTAAGCTTCTTGTGCTAAGTTGCAAGTAAGAATTTGATTGTCATTTCAATGAAGCTGTAACAGCTATGGAAATGGAATATTTTAGGCAAACTTCAACAGTTGATGGTTTTTGCTTCACCATATTTAAGGCCTCAAAGTAGAGTCAAAAGATGGTAAGTAAACAAGAAATTTACTGTCTGTAGAGCAGATGAGAGATGGTTTTATATATGGGTATTTGGTAAACAACTTTTTAAAAAGCTTTTAGGTTATTTGAGTATAAATAGTTGATTGATAGTCAAATTTTCCATTTTTAGTGTTTGATAAATAATTTTTTGAAAGAGTTGATTGTACAAAATAAACTGAAAATAAAAATGCTGGAAAATTCAACGGTTTAGAAGAACTGATTGCAAAAATAAGATGTTAAACGATACATTTGACCTTATTATTTCTATAATTACATCATAGCCATAAAACATTATTATTTCCATATTTCTCAAATGTTCTTATTTGTCTGTACTTGTTTGTATATGTATCTCTTTCTTAAATATTCATGTAACCTAAATTTATTTTCAATGAACTTGTGTAAAATGAATTTTATGCAACGTCTAATGATAAATTAGTGAAATTTTAATTTTATTATTCTATTTTTTAGTTGTAGATTATCAAATATATTTTAGTTAATAAAACATGACAAACCATGAAAGTAAAAAATAAATGTAGCGTTGATATTTTATATAAAGTTAATAGTATGTATTAATCTCACAAGGTTAATCCTTGTAAATATTAAATTTAAAAATATATTCAAAATTTTCAAAAATATTATAAAACATACATGTACTTAACAACTAAATGTATCATATCCTTATTTCTTATTTTACCCATATTAGCTATCAACAAAATTTTACTAAACACTTCTATATAAACGGTTAATTAAATCAATTTCTCAAATCAACTAATCAAATCAGTTGATGAAACCAACTAATGGAATCCGCTGCTAGAATATTAACTATTTTATCAGCTCCTAGAATATTAACTATTTTATCAGCTCCATTATCAACACTGATTGGTCAATCATTGTCTGTGACCGGCCATTGCTTTTCTCATCGGTTTCTGAGTTTTTCCCATCTTTGCTTTTACCCCCACATCACAGTATAAAAGCCAAAGAAACCAATTGAGCAATCAACCAATCTTTATTGAAAACCAAAGGTTAATAATACCTTCCGAGGTGGACTTTTTCTGCTAAAACAATGGCCCCAGGTGCAGCTGTGATGATCATACATAAATGATGTTACAAATAACACTACTCTTTGAACATAATACGCCAGCACACTATCCCCTAATCAATCACAAATTATGTTAAAAGGGTTTAGTACTTGTGTTTCATGTGTCTGCTTGGGCTTCACTGGGTTACTTACAGAGTATGTCGCCTTGAGTCCCAGCCTAGTTTCCAGGCACTTAGGTCACGGACCATAACCAGAGACACCCCTGCACCTTCACCATTCCCATGAAACATATCCAAGCCGTAAGCCAGAGATCGGCCGGGTACTTCTTCAATGTGAAGGACTGAACCAGAAATCATACACCGATGTTAGCTCATAAATAACTAAGTAGTTTAATCATATTTTCCCCTTTTCCAAAAATATTTAGACTCACTTGCAAAATAAAGAAGCTTGATTAACCAATGATGCTTCCAAGAAGCATTATTGTTCCAATTACCCGGTTTTTATCTGCAGATTCACTGGTACTTTCCATGGTGTTTAGCTCCACCTGATTTCACAAAATCAATAACGGGGCTTTTGTACAAAGTCATCACTATTGCTCCCACGACTGTGATTGCAGTTCCAATAATCTTTGCTACACTTCGTATCTTCTTCAGATTGATTTTCTCTAACCTGATAATTGACATAATTAAGGATCTTATTAACGTATCCGAGTGAGATAGAGATGAGTAGCAAAATGGCAGGTTTGTAGAGGACAGAGGATTTGGAGAAAGAAAACATTGAGCAGTAATAAAATGGTGAAGTTTACGTTGGAAAAACATTTACTTTTAAGAGTAAAATATACAAATTGGGCCCGTCATTAATTTCATTTAATTGGTTTTCTTTATTTTCAACAAAAGATACACCGTCAATTGGGTTGTTGGCTTGGCAACCAATTTGGCAACAATTTCTCCTCTTACCATTTATGGCGCCTGCAAGTTTGATCAACAACTTCTTCAATGTGAAGGACTGAACCAGAAATCATACACAGATATTAGCTAATAAATAACTAAGTAGTTTAATCATATTTTCCCTTTTTCCAAAAATATTTAGACTCACTTGCAAAATAAAGAAGCTTGATTAACCAAAGATGCTTCCAAGAAGTATTATTGTTCCAATTACCCGGTTTTTATCTGCAGACTCACTGGTACTTTCCATGGTGTTTTGCTCTACCTAATTTCACAAAATCAATAACGGGGCCTTTGTACAAAGTCATCACTATTGCTCCCAAAACTGTGATTGCAGTTCTAATAATCTCTGCTACACTTCGTATCTTCTTCAGATTGATTTTCTCTAACCTGATAATTGACATAATTAAGGATCTTATTAACGTATCCGAGTGAGATAGATATGAGTAGCAAAATGGCAGGTGTAGGCACTCATTTTTGTCTGAGTTTAAAAATATTATTATTACATGTTTGCAGGCTAACCAATGACCCAAATGAGGCCCAATCCCGAAGCCTATTACAAGCTGTTGACAAGTACAAGCCCAACACTCAGCAGACCCAATTGCAAGATCTGACCCGAGGACCCAGTAACCTGACTCGAACCGGCCCACAAGCAAATCAGATTAGGGTTTTAACCCTAAATTATTTCTAGCGCCGCCAGCAAGAAGATCCGAACAGTCCACCGGCGCGTGAGCCGTTGCAGAGCCACCAACAAGCCACCACCAAGCCACCACCGACAGTCCTCGTCATCATCCACCTACCAAACATCAACCAAATCCCACTAAAATACCAAATCCACTAAACCATTTTTAAATACCTAAATCTTGAAAAATCTGGGATTTCATCGACCCTAAATCAATAAACCACCATTCCACAAGGCATTCGGTGATGGTAATAAAAAAAAGAAAAAAGAAAAAGAGGAGATCGCCTTGAAAAGGGGGAAGAAGCGAACAAAAAAAACAGGAGGGATTCGAGGGGCTTTTCGAAAAGAAAAAAAGAGAATTGAGGGAACAAAAACAGATCTCAGTCAAACCAAAGAACAAGAAAAAGAAAAGAATCATCAAAAGTCTAACAAGGAGCAGAGGTTCTTACCTTGGTGTGAAGTGGGAATACATATAGTCGTCGGAAGAGTCGAACATTCGAAAAGTAAAAATCTAGATCTATGATTCTAGGGAAGGATTTAGGCTGAGTGGGGGTAGTTTTCGAGCTTAGGGAGTGAAGAGGAACAATTTTAGGGTATTTGGTAGCTCGGCGAACGACAGCGGCTTCCCCACCGATGATAGAGTTGAGAGAATTCTCTAATTCTCTCTCTCCCTAATTTTCTGAATTGAAGCAAAAGATAGATTGAAGGGAAAAAGACCCATTTTTGAACTTATATCCCTCTATCGAAACGAATTCGTTTCACTGGGGACCTTCAGCGTGTTTTCATACTTAGGGTAAATCATTGTTTAGGTCCCTGTATCTTTGTAATGTTTTACTTTGGTCATTAATTGTATTTTACTCTATTTGGTTTTGAGCCCCTTGTTTCTTAATGTTTTATTTAGTCTCGTATTTATGTTATTAGATTCATTTTATTATTTATATTTTTGATTGGTGAATTTATGTAATA